ATCTCCAGGTCTGTTATTTCTGGTGATTCCGTAATATGGTGAGTTGTTTGCTTGTTTGAGACAGGGTTTCTCTGTATAGCCCTGGCTGTCCTGGTTGTAGACCAGAGATCTGCCTGCCTCTGCCTCCTGAGTGCTGGGAGCAAAGGTGTGTGGTACAATCACCTGGCTTTCTTTTTCTTTTTAGCAGTTTTGAGTGTGCAACATGCTAGGCAAGTGATTTACCACCAAGCAACACTACCAGCCTTGATTTGTTGTCTTTTATCTTATTGTGAACTTATATTGATTTGGTGGCACCTTGGATACCTAGAGACCTGCAGTGAGAATATTTTCTCTCATAGAAGTTGTACAGTGGTGTGTGTGTGGTGGGTATGTAGGTGTGTGTGAGTGTGTGTGTGCATACAGGTGTGTTGGGTGTGTATACATGCAGGTGTGTTGTGTGTGCATGCAGGTGTGTATGTTTGCAGGTGTGTGCATTCATGTATGCCCGCAAGTGTGTGTGTGTGTGTGTGTGTGTGTGTAAAGAGTCAGAGACATCGAACCTTGAATTTCAGTCTGGAACTCATAGATTTAGTTCCTCTACTTTCAGCTAGTTTAGATAAGCATCTCTTGTAGGCTGGTATTAGCATATGTTATCAGGCAAACGTGCCTTTTAAAGTATATTTATCACTCATGACTGTTCAAAATAGAATAAAAATAAAACATTAACTTTATGTGAGACTTAGGGCTTTAGACAGGAATCTATATGCAGCCCAGTATGGCCCAGTTTGCCATCCTCCAAGTTCTCCTTCCTCTTTTTTTTTTTTTTTCTTGATTTTTTTGAGGCAGGATTTCTCTGTATTGCTTTGGAGCCTGTCCTGGAACTAGCTCTGTAGACCAGACTGGCCTTGAACTCACAGAGATCTGCCTGCCTCTGCCTCCCGAGTGCTGGGAGTAAAGGTGTCTGTCACCAATGCCCAGCTCCTCCTCTTTAGTTAGACAAAAATACTTTAAAAATCCTATTCCTAAACTCCTTTTGTTACCACAAACTCTAATTGCCCACATCCATTGCTCCTCTTCTATCTCCCAGATGCACAGAAGGGAATGTGATGCCTATGCATAAAGACATGTCTCTTGCACATTTCTGGCCCATTCTACAGGTAGTCTTAGGGCATTTGCACTTTCTGGTCACTTGGGGCTTTCAGCTCTTCTTTTAATTCTTCACCTGCTTTTTCCTTCAGTTGCAGGTAAAGGTCACCTTGAGAGAAAGGCCCTCTGTGACCTGTAGGAGTGGGCTTCTTCCATTGCCATTATGATGTTTATTTGTTGAACAGCATTTTAGACAGCTCAGAAATTTGTGGGCTTTTTTTCTTATTATTCATCTCTCCCCACCAACACCCTGGTGTAGTTTCATGAGGACAGAACCCTATACTATTTTATACACTGCTCTATATACCTAGGAAAATGAATAAAATAGAGAAAAGGAAGCCGGGAGCAGGCCTGTAATCCTAACTGTTGGAGGGTTGAGGCAGGAGGATTCCCTGGGATATAGACTGAGTTCAGGGATAGCCTGAGTAAGTTACTGAAACCTTAAAGCAAACCTTAAGAAGCTGACACAATGGCTTAGTAATAGCACCTGCTATTAGGCATGCGGGCCTGAGTTTGAATCCCTAGCATCCATGTAAACAAAAATGATGTAAGCAAATAATACTTAAAAATTAAATTAAAAATTTTAATAGCTAGAGCTATTTTTGTTTATTTACTTATTTTGTTTATTTGTTATAAGTATTTTTGTCTAACTAAGGAGGAGGAGCTGGGCATTGGTGACAGACACCTTTACTCCCAGCTAGAGCTATATAGTTCAAGGTGTGAGCACTTGCTTAGCATGCTTGACACCCTGGATTTGATCTTCAGCGCCACAACAAACAATGAAAGAAAAGATAAAGGCAGATATGGTGATGCACATGCTGTAATCCCAGAACGTGAGAGGCTGAGGCAGGAGGATGAGGAGTGTAAGGCCAGTCTAGGCTACATTACAAGCTTAAAGCCCGATTGTGTCATTAGAATCTGCCATAAATGCAAAGCAATCACAAAATGGAAAGGCATGGGGCATGCCTGTAATCCCAGCCAATTTGGGAGGCTGATAATGGAGGACTGTCACAAGTTTAGGGCCAGAATAGGCTCCACAGTGAATGAGGCCTTGTCTCAGTAAATAAGTAAATAAACAAATACATAAATGAAAAAAAAAAAAACTGAAAATAACTACAAACACAGGGACAGCCACATGCCAGTCATCCACCCGATTGTATATCCATCCTACCCACAATCTGTACTTACTGGGGTCACAAACTTGTTGGCTTCCCAGGCCCATAGAGGTGGGTCCTTATAGACCTCCTTGATGGAGGTAGGAGCTCTGTAGGAGTCACTGTAGGTGCTGATGGGGGTCTTGGTCTTCCGGGAGAAGAGGAACATGGTGGAGTCTCAGTGATGCTGTAGTGGGCTCTGCCTATCAAGGACTCCTGCTGGACATCGGTGACCCTTGATAGCCCACACCTCCAGCCTGGAAGGTGCTCCTAGCTGCTGCTGTGACCCCCCTCCTTTGGGGGACCTCTCAATGTCCCTCCCCCTCAGCCTTTCTGCTTCTACTCCACCCAGCTTCCTTTCCAGGTTGGGCAGTGCCCATTATGATATCACTTGCCTTGGCCCCATCCCTGTACAAGAGGCCTAATTTCCTCCCTATGCCAGCCCCTTCCTGCTTTGAACCCTTCAAAATGTCCATTTCCCAAGAGTTCAGAAGGCCACTAGAAAACCTGTAGGGCAGATTTCTCACTGCTGAAGAGAGGCAGAGGTTAGGAGGGGCTGTGATTTATTAAGGCCACACATCAGTAACAAGCAGAGGTAGAGGGACATGTGCATTCAGAGGCTTCAGTTTTCTCCCCTCCTCAGCCTATACCCCAGGTAAGGAGCTCAGTCTGGCTTGTTTGATGCTTTTAATATTATTTGTGTTACACGATACACAACCAAGGACGATGGTCAATACTGCGATGGAAATGTTAAAAAAAATATTATACACGGCTCATGTCTTCCACACACCTTCTTGGAAATAAATTAGTGAGCTCGGAGAAACCTGGCTGGGTGGCAGCCACAGCCGAGGGTGGGGGAGTGTTAAGGCAGTATCTACAAGGGGTGGGGGTGGGGGTGGGGGTGGGGGTGGGGGTGGGGCAAGCTGAGGCCCTGGTTCTTCCCCTTCAACGTCCAGACAGGGAGGAGGTGGACGCAGAAGCTGCTGGCTGCCAGCTTCCTACTCCCACCTCAGTGTGAAGCCCTTGCCTGCTAATGAACCAGTGTGTGCTGTGGGGAGGGCTCTTTCCGGGGCTCTCAGGGCCACAGACAGGGAATGGGCCAGAATCCCAGTCAGTCAGCAGCAGAGGCAGCAGTCTGAAAAGAGGAGGTACCCATGTTCTAGGAGGGTGAGTCAAAGAGCCCAGTGGGGTGGGGGTAGTAGGAGTTCTAGTTCTGGGGCCCAGATGATGGGTGGTGGGCGTGCTAACCAGGGTGGGGTGAGGTGGGGGCTCAGAGGGGGTCCATTATGGGCCCGGTGGCCCTTGCAGATACTTTCTCTGACTTGCCTCCTTTGGCATTTTCTCGCTATCTAATTAGCATCACTGTACTAGGGGAGGTGAGCTGTGGGGAGTGGAGAGCTACACTGACACTCTGGAGTGGACAGCCAGCCCCTGGGTGGTGGAGGGAGAGGCGCTTCCCTTCCTCAGTCAGCAGCCCCACTCCCTCCTCTCACCACACCCACTCTATCCCACCTCTCAGGCCTGGCACCCAGAGTGGTATGTGAGTAGTAGCCATGACACTGGAAACACCAGCGTGTGTGTGTGTGTGTGTGTGTGTGTGTGTGTGTGTGTGCGTGCGTGCGTGCGTGCGTGCGCGCGTGTGTGTGCGTGTGTGTGTGTGTGTGTGTGTGTGTGTGTGTGTGTGTGTGTGCGCGCGCGCGCGCGTGTGCGTGGTCAGCAGGAGGCCCGGAGAAGGAAGCTACACTTTGGCCACTTTGGCTGGATGAGAGGAGACTGGTGGAGGCATTGGCCTAGCAGTCTGAGGCTGTCTGTGCTTTCAGTTGTTTTCACACGAGGGCGGGTCTGCCAGGCAGGAGAGCTATGTCTCTTCCTCATTGACTTGCAGCCTCAGCTTTCCTCCCATCAGCAAAAGCAGAAGCAACAGTACGCATCACACACGCATCATATACGCACGTGCACACACACACACCTTTTTCCCAAACAAAGCTGCACGTGCTTCCTATGTCTGCACAAGCGCCCACCTCAGGCCTCCTGGTGCTCTCAAAGCCCTCTGCAGAAATTCCTGTGAAGAAATTTCTTCAGCTATGAAAAGACTGCCAGTGATGTCAGCTATTCCTTAGTTCCCAGTCGAGAGAACTGAAGCCCTGGGGAAGCCTGGGAACTGCTTAAAAGAGCCCAGGGAGAATGCCAGAGGTGGGACCAGAACCCAGCTTCCGACTGCTAGGCTTGCCCTCAGTGCACTGCATTTCCTAATCGGCCTTTCATACAGCAAACAGACCAGAGTCATTTCCCCACCGTGCATACCCATCAGATTGACCTGGACAGACAGCTAGGACATGCACAGACAGACACCCTACCACATACACACAGCCACTTGGTGCACTCCTTTCTCTTAAGCTTGCTCTTGAAGAGCCATTCTGGAAGCCAGCCTCCTGGACCTGGGGCCTAGGTGAACTGGGAACGGGGCACTGGAGGTCAGCCTTATCTCTTGCTTCCAGCCTGGAAGCGATAACCAGAAGCCAGGGTGGGGAGTAGGAGAGGGGTAGAGACCGGGCAGAGAGACCGATGCATTGTTAGAGGCGCTTGAGAACAGGTCATAACATCCCCAAACCTGGCCTCTCTCTAAGGCCCACTCTCCCAGTCCTCAGAAAATAAGGAAGCAGGAGTGTGACAGTGGAGGGAGGGAGGGAGGGAGGGAGGGAGGGAGGGAGAGAGGGAGGAGGCAGTGATCTAATGAGGGACGAGTTTCCCTTCGGACAGCTTTGCCTGGCTTCCCATCTGGAGATGAGGGCTGGCACGGGGGTGGGGACGGGTGGGGTGGGGAGAGGGGCTCTGAGGTGTTGAGAATTGTCCCCATTGCTTGGGGCCTTTTCTTCTCCAACCCCCTTCCCTTCCTTTCCAGGCTAGGGCTAGGGAATTCATGGCTTCACTGGCATGGGGCCAAACCCCTGGCCTTATGATCCCTTCACCCAACTGCTCACAGTTGGCCTCCTGGCCTTCAGTGCTGCCCCCTGACTGCAGCTCTGGGGAGAGGTGGCAGGGTGCTTGGGTGTGGTCTCCCCCAAGTAACTGAACAAACCATGCCCCGCCCCCACCTCGGCCCCAGGGCTGGAGACAGACCCGGTTTTGGTTTCTCCGGCTCCATGAACACACAGAGGTACACGTCCTACCATAGGAGGAAGCAATGACTGTTACGAGGTTGGCGGCTGTAAGGGGCTCAGGGCTGTAAGGGGGACCGGTGGGCCAGCTGGGTAGGAGTTGGCCCCTGCCTCGTGTCCCACCTGGCCCGACTCGGCCCCGCCCCGTGCGCCGCGGCGACCCCGCCCGCTACTGAATGTGGCAGGCGGTGGAGGAAGTGGCCTGGCAGCACATGCAGGTGGGGTTCACGGATTTGGGGGGGATGAGATCTAGGTCCTCATCGTCGGGGATCTCATCTAACCGGTAGCCGTCCTTCAGCAGCTGGATGTTCAAATCTTGGTTGATCTGCTGTAGAAAAGGTTCGAGTCAGTTGGAAGGGCATCTCCCTGGGCCACAGTGACAGCCCCTACTCATCCTAGGTTTATTTCAAACTCCAGCCTGGCTTGGGTTTCACTTCCTCCAGGCAAGTCTTCCTAAGGCCTGGCCCTCTACAGGCCCCTGCCCAGTCTTAAAGTCAACATCTCTACTCTTGCCTCAGTCCTGGATTTGCCCAGATTTCAGGTTCACTCCTGTAAGGTGTTGCCTGCATTCCACACATGTTCTGTTTTAGAGCTTTAATAACCCGGGGCTGTCAGAGTACTAATTTCTTTCCCAGCCTAGACCCCGCCTCACGCGAAGCCCCGCCCCAAAGGCTCCGCCCCACCTGCCCCTTAGGAGCCCCACCCAGCCTTGCAGCTTGGTAGAGTAGGTACAGCTCCCAGTAGTCTGTGGAGGCAAGGGGGTGGAGCCTCACCTCCGCAGAGGAATAGCCCGAGGAAGAGTATCTGGACATGTCGAAGTCATCATCGCTGGCCGTGGGAAAAAAGAGGAGAGAGAGGAAGTGAATCAGGAAAATTAAATAGAAAATTCTCGGCATCTTTGCCATACCCACTGTCCCCCAACAGTATGATTTAAGTAATCCGTGCTTACTAAGCAGATATGTTTGCAAAGACAGGTTTCCTAGTTCGAACTTCAAATAAAGTGGCTTCCTTTTGATAGAACTGCTATATCTCTTTCCTTCTGCCTCATCATGTTTTTGTTTTAATGTTTTCTCTCTCTAGATTCAAATCATCCTGGCTGTTTGGATTTTCTCAAGGTCTCTGGCTAGCCCGATGCTCCCCTGGGATAGGGTTCTTGTCACTATGTCTTCTCCATGCCCATTGCTTTAAAAAAAATCTATCCCCTTGGGAAATTTCACCCATGGAGAGCTCCAGTTGACTATACCCCACTTCTGGCAATCTGGTGGGTGTGGCCTGTACAACCCCATCTGTGCTCACATAGAACCATGGGTTTGCCCAGCTGCCCCCAGGTCCCATACACACCTGTCTGTGTCAAGAGCTACCAGTGGCTTCTCATCAGGGCTCTGGTCAAGCGAAGAGTAGCCTTTATTAGGGACGACCAGCCTGGATAAAGAATTGGGGAGATGGAGTGCCGGCTGGAGCATACAAACCTGGCAGGGGGTTTGCGCCCTCATTTTCCTCCCCCTCCCTGGGTCCCCCTGAGGAGGGAGAGGCTGGAGACCAGAAACTGCAGGTGTTGGCTGCTGGGGTCTCAGTGGGACAGGGGGAACACCTACCTCGTCCGGGCCATGACATTACTCTTCTTGGGTTGCTGGTTGACAGGGCTGCCCATGCTGCCGTTCTTCAGGGAACCCTTCCGAACCAGCTCCCGCTGCTTCTCTGCAGGAGAACAAGGGAAAGAAGCTGTGTCCTGCCCCGGGTGGCCTGCTCTGGGCCTATTTTGGGCATTCCTTTTCTCCCTGGCAGAGAGCCCATGGCCCTCCAGGCACCTGATGCTTAGGGACATGCACTTGGCCCTGCATAACTTGAGGCAGAGGGTGGTGGAGGAAAAGAGGAGCCCTAGTCCTGCTTCTGGGAACCACAGCTCCTGTGTTAGGCGGCCAATGTGTGCTGGCAGTCAAGGACAGACTAGAGGAAAGATGAACACAGAGGGCTGAAGCAGCTGGGAGGCCTGGAGGGAGGAGGACATTAAGAGAGAAAGCACGAGCCAGGCAGCGATGGTGCACACCTTTAATCCCAGCACTCTGGAGGCAGAGACAGAGGCAGAGGCAGAGGCAGAGGCAGATGGTTCTCTGAGTTTGAAGCCAGCCTGGTCTATAGATAGAGTGAGTTTTAGAACAGCCAGGGCTACACAGAGAAACCCTGCCATGAAAAACCAAACAACAAAATAAATAAAAAAGAAAAAAATCGAGAGCATAAGGATAGGAGGGGCCATTACAGCACCTGTGACTCACTTGAAATGTTCTCTGATTCCCACGCCTCTGAAGCTCTTACTTCCTATTCCCTGACAGATTTTTTTCCCCCCTCTTACTCTACAAGGGATTTTTCCAGCTTCTATTCAGCAGGCAGTAACTGCCATTACCATATCTAGCCTCTAGGGGGTGCAATTTGACTTAAAGTTCTTGGTGATTTTCTTTATCGAAAGTGAGACAAGCTGTGAATTTTCATGAGCTTTGGTGGTAATATAATGTGAAGGAAATAAAAATACTATTTTAAAGGCATGCTAAGTTTGTTTGAAATCATTAAAAATGAAGACAATAAGCTGGCAAGACTCAGACTATGGACTACTATGCAACCATTTAAAAGAACAAACTCATTCTCTATAGAGGTTCTGAGACATTATGTAGTGGGAGGGAACATGGCTTACAAAATTTGTACAATGCAATGCCATTTGTGCTAAAATACAAAATGAAGCTACAAGAACTTGCAATGGTTGCCACTGGAGAGTAGAGAACTTATATGCATTTAAAATATTCCCATTGTTGCATTAAACAATAATAAACAAAACTGCCTGTACTCTGAATAGAATATCCTAGGAAGACAGACAATTCAATTGAGAGAACTGCTGTTCTGTTTAAAAATCAGCCAGAAGGGCTGCCTGGATATGGTTTAGAAGCAAAGAAGCAAGGTCTGTTTTATTTGTAGTTTTTTTTTTTTTTTTTTTTTTTTTTTTGAATAGACTAAAAGAACAGGTCCTGTGGAAGGGAATCCTGATAGCTGTGGGGGTGGGGGGGAGCTCGTTAGAGAGATGAGAGGCCTGGTCTCAACTGAGGAAGATACCAGTTCTGGGTGGGCAGCTAGAGCCCAAGTTCTGAGAAGATGGCTGGAATGACAGAGGAGTTTTAAGGTCGGCGATGACCTGTATCCAATGGTCATCTCTCTCACGTGTGAATGTTATAATTTTCCTTCAGGAAATTAGTTTTGTGGTGGAAATTTGTTGTCTGTAGTAGCCTTGGGTCAGTGAGATCTTGGCCCATGAAGTAGGAGGGGGCAGTGTTCGGCAGAGAGCGGTGACAGCTGCAGCCACAGGAGCTTTGGGCAATTGTGGGAGCCAGGTGATTTCAAAGCAGGAAATGGTCATCAGAGTGGACGTGAAACCCACCCTAAGAGAAAGGTGATGAGATATCTTAAAAGAGAGGGGTTCTGGGGTTCACTAAGAAAGGGTCAATCTTCCTAGACAGAAACCATCCAGGTCCTGAGACCTGTCCATCAAACATAGCAGCAGCCTAATCTTTTGGAAGCAGGTTCCTCCTGGCTGGCCCTTCTGAGTCCTGTCTTGGAGTTCTATGCTTTACACACTTACAGCTACCCCTTGAATACCTGGGCCCTCTAGCTGGCTCTCACTCAAAGACCTTCACTGTCTTCTTTGTCTTGTAAGACATAAGGTACCTGGGCATGCCAATGACTTACTTGAAGGTTTAGTCTTGGAATCATTTAGCCTGAGCTACTTTAATTGTAGCGCCGTGCTGTAAACCTAGCCTGAGAGCATCTTGTTCACTTCCCACATCGCCCTCATCCCCCAGACACACTCACCCAGCTTCACTTGGAGCGGGGATGGTTTGTAATTCATGGCTACTGACTCACCCTCCCGGGCGTCACAGTCTCCATCTGAGATAGAGGCGGCGGCTGGGTCCTGTGGGAGAGAAAGCAGAGAGACAGGGAACGATTAGCATGTGACCCCACGGGTTAACCTGAACCCTGAAGCAACCCTTCTCATCTGCCTTCTGAGTTTCTGGGAGCATTTACTTCAGTGGCAGGCTAGTACGCAGGGAGAGAGAGGAAGACTCATTTACTATGACCTCAATGGAAAAGCCAAGATGTATGTCCTACCCATATCCAACAAGCATCTCATGTAATCCAGGCTGTTGCTGTTCCAGAAAATCCAAACTTCCCTAAACCCACAGGACTTCCTCTACAAGTTCATGCATGAGCTCTCAGGCTTTTCTATGCATTACTTAGGAAAAGGGTCTGTCTACATCTCTCTGAGCTTAAGGGTGGATTAAGGCCAGAGCAGGTACTCCCCGAGGGAGATCTTTTTCTGTTTCCTCTTTGCAGGATCCAGACAACCACCTGGCCAGTCCAGGCAAGACCTCAAGACTTCAGCCACTGACTAAAAGCAGGAGAGAGGGATTGGGGAGTAGGGCCAGGGGCTGTGGTGAATAAGAGAGTCTGAAGTTCCCAGAAGACCCCTAAGGGGTGTACCCTGGGAGGCTGGATGTGTTGGTTTGGTCCTCCCTGATCTTTGGCTCCTATAATCTTCCTGCCCCCTCTTCTTCAATGGCCCCTGAACATTGTGGGGTAGTGATAAAAGGCTCCATTTGTGCCCAGACATTCCACTGACTCTGCACTTTGGATGGTTGTGAGTTTCTGAATTAAGTATCAGGATAGCCAACGCAATATGAGTGCTGCCATCTTTAACCAGGGATTAGAGTGGCCAACCTAAGGTGTGAGGACTGCAGGCAATCCATGCTGCTTGTTCTGTCCTTGAAGATGCAGAAAGCAGACAGACAGACAGACAGATAGAAAGAATGCCCCAGGACTGGCCTAAGTATCAGGTCCAGGGATCTGTGAGCTCCTGGTGAACCATTTTAAATGGGTCAGTGGCTAAGGTGTTGTTCACTGTGCTAGCATGAGGACCTGGGTTTGGATCCCCAGGACTCAGGTAAAGCTGGGACCACTGAGTGTCTGTAAGCCCAGTGTTCCTACAGTGTGTGATGGAGGCAGAAACAGGAGACTCTTTAGAAGCTCACAGTCTAGCTAGCCTGGTATTTGCAGCAGAGAAAATTAAAAGGCAATAGAGTACCAAGACCAATACTATTCCCAGATATCCTCTGACCTTCACACACATGCAATGCCATGAGCACACCTGCTCTCACATGAGAGCATGTACACAAGCACGTCATATACCCATGGAAATAAAATAAAAAGGAGGCAGTTGGGCATGAGCACTAACGTGTTACAGTGCCAGCGAAGAAGCTAGATGTTTGGGAGGGAAATCTTGACCTGTCTGTTCCTGGGTGGGCTGGGCTGCCACAGTGGGGAAGAGCCTGGACCTCCCTCCATCTCTGAGCCATGGGCGATATGAGAGGGTGACAGGAGCTCTGTGTGACAGGTGGGGTATAGCAGCACCTGCATCTCAGATAACTTCCCAAGTGGTAAACCTCCCCAATCTCATCCTCCCTGCTCTGTAGAACTCCCTGGAACACTCCTTTCACACTGCACCTTGGAGAAGCTGGTATGTGTGGCCCTTATCCATGTTGAGGCCCCAATGGCCTCTCAGTTGCTACCCATAGGGGAGACAGAGACTTTATGGCTGGACTCCGACATTACTCTTGGGCCATAGTGAGCTCACCCCCCCCCAAGACATCCAAAAGGAGGGATTTTCAGATGGAAAATTCTGTAAACACACTGGTGGCATCCTATCAGGAAGGATCTGGTCCATTTCTAGGCTCCTCAGTCAAATTGCTTCATCCTTTCTGTAAAATTTGTCAGGGAAAACACACAGCACATCCACTTGGAACTGGCTTCTTCAGGATGCTGTTTCCATGGTCCACGTTTTGCCTGTGATCATTTCTGTGTCTGTCTGCATTTCTTTGTCTCCTCAGCAGGGCCCCACCCTTCTGAAACTTGAAGCCTCCTGCAGCCTGAATTGACATTTTATACTGATGACTTCTAAATTGTGGCCTTTTAATCATGTTCCTGCTCCTTGACCTGCCACCTGAGTGTTTAGTCTCACTGTCCTTTCCCTGAGGTTAATTTTAGAGAACACAAACCCCAGGCAACCGGGGCTGAGGCATCGTGCCCCAGGGCAGATAAGTGTACCAACTTCTGAGGTTGCAGGTGTCAGTGGTAACATGTGAGGCAGAGAACTCAGAGGGACAGAACCTAGGATGAGCACTGGGGAGCTGTGGAGAAACTCTGGCCAGTAACCCCATTACGGATCTCAAGACCCACTGGCAGTCCCTGCTAGTGTTTGATCCTGAGTGAAACCACAGGATCAAAGTCTTAGGCTGAGAGGCTCCGTGCCAAACTCCCCTATCCAGCAGCTCCTCTGTCACTGTCCATGGTAGAAAACCATTTAAGCGGCAACTACAAAAGTCTCTGGCACAGTGCCATCTGACACTGTAGACTTTTTGAGTGTCTTCTCCGAGAAAGGCAGGCAGTGCACCATGATCATTGTGTAGAGATTAAATGTAAAATATTCATGAGCAGAAGTTGCAGAGAGGACTCAGGCAGAAGGAAGTGCCTGGCTCCAAGAATCAGAGAGAATTTAAAATGCCCCCCAAGGACTTCCGACAGGCGTTAGCTAGATCCGGGAACTAGAGCAGGGATTAACAAGATTATTAATAAACACTCAGCAGAGACAGACCTTGAAATACATCTCTAACAACAATCCATGTCTCTACAACCATTCAAACAAATCCTCCAAAGGCTGCAGAGAAGATTAATAGCCTGGGCTATAGGCTAATGGCCAGCACAACATCAAAACAGCCAGAGGGAGCAAAAGAGCCAAAAGCATCCTTAGTAGAGTTAGTGTGGACCAGCGATTTTCATTACCCTGTATTCCCCAAATCCCATGCTTTGGGTGGGGCTGAAATGTAAGTGGGGCGTATGTATAGGAATGGTAGTTACAGGATCCTGGGTTCCCTTCAATCAAAGAAAGCCATTGTTAGTTCACTTCTATATTAACCTTTTTGTAAAATTCAGGTTTGCAAAAGCGTTTTGTTGCTTAAGAAAAAGACCACTAACCACAACCCTGGGAGATTGGCTCAGTAGATGAAGGTGCTTGCCACCAAGGCTGACAATCCTCAGGACCCATATGGTGGAAGACAAAACCAACTTTTGCAAGTTGTTCTTTGACCCCCCCACATGCACACTGTAGCACATCCCCACCCCTCACAAATAAATACAATAAAAATAAAATGGCAGAAACTCACTGATTCACTCCAATCTAGTCTTTTTAAGAGGCTTTATGGAAAGTACAGAAAATATGCTAGTGAGATCCGGGGTACCTATCTGTGCATGTGTGTGTGAGGATGCACTCTCTTATGCTTGATTATATAGAGAGGGGTTGAAGGGGCCATGTTGAGTGGCTTTCAATTGCTTTCTCACTGGATCGAGCTCTGCAATTAGGCTAGCTTGGCTGGCCACCGAACTCCAGAGAGCTGCCTGTCTTCTCCACTTTGTTCCCCCAGCACTGGGGTTACAGGCACACACTGTCATTCATGCTCAACTTTTACATGGGTGCTGGAAATCTAAACTCAGGTAGGTATGCTTGCACAGCAAACATTTTGCCCATGAGCCATCTCTCTATCCTCTATCAATTCTTTGGGTTTTGTTGTTGTGGTTGGTTTTTTTTTTTTTTTTTTTTTTAGATAGGGTTTCTCTGTATTGCTTTGGAGGCTGTCCTGGAAGTAGCTCTGTAGACCAGGCTGGGCTTGAACTCACAGAGATTTACCTGCCTCTGCCTCCCAAGTGCTGGGATTAAAGGCATGAGCCACCAACACCCCACTCAATTATTTGTTTTTAAAAATAAAGAAAATTGAGCTGGTAACACACTCCTTTAATCCCTTTAATCTACAGAACAAGTTCCAGGATAGCCAGGGCTATACAGAAACCTTGTACTAATCAATCAATCAATCAATCAACCAATCAACCCAAAACCCAAACAAAATAAAAACAAAACAATCAAGCACCATCCCCACTCCCAAAAAAAAAAAACAAAAAAAACAAAACAAAACAAAAAAAAAAAACCAAAAAAACAAAAAAGGAAACTTGGGAGATGGTTCATGGTTCAGAGGACCTAAGTTCAGCTGCCAGTATCCATGACAGGCAGCTCACAACCACCTGTAACTCCAGCTCCAAGGGATCCAGTGCCACCTTCTCCCCCACAATAAATGAACAAATACATAAAGGACAAATGGCCAGAGAGGAACAGATGGAGCCAATGACCTTGGTTGAAAAGATGCTCAGGAGAGACCGACTGAGACTTGGAACGTTGGTGGTCCTCTGGAGATCACTTCTTCTGTGGGGCTACACATTAGCCTGCATGCAAACTCCCACATTTGTTTCCACACTTGAAAGGAAGACAAGCCACTCAGTCCCACACTTTGCCACACGGACTGAAAAGGAGACTGTGGTGGCAAAAGGTATAAGCGATGGGGCTAGTGAGATGGTTTAGCAGGCAAACGTGCTAGCCAAGAAATTCTGACAACCTGAGTTCAATTCTTGGAACCCATAGTGGAAGGAAAGAACCATCTCCCAAAAGTCCTCTCTCTCACACACACACACACACACACACACGCGCACGCACACACACACACACACACACGAACATATATATAATGAAATATATATCATATGTCTACTATCTCTCTCTTTATCTGTCTCTCTCTCTCTCAGACAGACAGACATGCTACATTCCCTTATTCATTACACCACCAGTCCAGGCACCGTAGAGATAAATAGAAAACATGCCATTTTCAAGGCGTGTCCAGTAACTATCAACCAAGGTAAAATGAGCATGAAAGGTAGATGGAGTTGGGTGTGGTGGCACATGCTTTTAACCCCAGCCCAGGGAGGCAGAAACAGGCAGGTATCTATGTATTCCAGACCAGCCTTATCGACACAGTG